GCCTCTTTCCCCACCCCGGCTTTCAGCCCCAGAGTGGGCCACCCTGGTCCTCTGTTGGTGCTAGCCCTTCTTCCTAAGAGTTGTGGTGCAGGAGAGGGATAGTCTTGTTCTCCCTAGGGCCCTGCTCTGGTCACTATCTTTATTTTATAGACAGTTTTTTATTATAGTAAAATACACATAACATGAAATTTACTATTTTAAGTGTGTACTTTCACAGTATTAAGTTCATTCATATTGTTTTAATCATCCCCGCCATCTACCTATAGGGGGTTTTATATTCCCCAATTGAAAACCTGTCCCCATTGAATAATAACTCCCCATCCCAAACCTCAGTTCTTGGCAGCCACCATCTGCTTTCTGTCTATCTTAAGTTTGACTGTTCCCAGGACCTCATATAAGTGAAATCATGCCATAGTTGTTCTTTGGTACCTAGCTAATTGCATTTATCAGTGTCTTGAAGGTTCGTACATGTGATGGCATATGTCAGAACTTCCTTTTAGGGCTGAATAATATTCCCTGGTATAGATGGACCATTTATTTATCCTTTCACTCATTGGTGGGCACTTGAGTTGTTCCACCTTTGGCTATTGTCAATGATACAGCCATGAATAAATGTATAAGTATTGTGTTTGTTCAAGTGGCCACTACTTTTTGAGACTAATCTTTGAGTTACAACACTCCTCTCCTGAAACTCCCAAGTAGAACACACATAAGAGAGAATTACTTGACCCCTCAGTATACTGGCAGAGTTTCCTTATCCAGAACCTAGATGTCCGTGGGAAAAAAACTGAGCCCTGAAGAAATGGGACACAGAACAGGAAGTCTGGGCCAAGATGGAAGAGGAGAAAGGTTCTGCATTTGGAAGGATGCCCATGGTAACCACAAAGACAAGTCCAGCAGGGAATATTGGGGAGCCACTGATAGACCTGGGAGCCTGGGAGGGTACACACAAAGGGGTTCCCAGGAGGGGGCCCTCACTGGATGAGGCAGGCCAACCTCCTGTTACACATAGAGTAGCAGGCAGGGACTTCCTGACTGTGCACTGGGGACAGCAAGGCACCCTCAGGGGTCAAAGGGGAAGATTGAAGACGCCACCTCCAGTCCCTTCAGCCTCAAAGGTCTAGGAGTCTGTGTTCAACAGCTGGCATAGACAGGCTGGTCTGCCTCTAAGAGGTGAGTAGGGCATGGTCTTTAGCCTCTGGTTCCCCTTGTACTCCCGAGGGGTAGGGGGAATGGTCTGTATAGGTGTGTACATAAGTGTGAAGGCCAGAGGTCAGTGTCAGATGTCTTCCTCATTTTTTGAGACAGATGCTTTACCTGAATCTGGAGCTTACCGATTAGGCTAGATTGGCAGACCATTGAGCCCCACGGATCCTCCTGTTTCTGCCTCTCCATCACTGGGATTACAAGCATGCCCCACTACACTTGGCATTTTTGTATGGATTCTGGGAATCCAACTAAGATCCTCATGCTTGCAAGGCACTTTACCAACTGAGCTATCTCCCCAGCCCTTCGTTCAATTACTGTCTGCATCCAGCCATGGAGAAGGAGAGGGAAAAATGAAAGACTCCACCCTCAGTAATTTCCTTGAGAAAGCCCAACAGGCCTGTGCAACAGGGCCTGACATAAAATGTGATTTTTAGCTTAGCACAGACTTTCCCAGATAGCCAAGTGAGAGATAAGATTGGAGGTGGGCACCTGCCTATAGCTCCACTTGGGAGTCCTGAACAGTCTCTCCTCGCCCTGGCAGTGTGGGACACAGACCTACCATGGTAGGAGCAGGGACACTAGCCCCATAAGTGTGCCTGTGAGGAGCCCAGGACATAGTGAAGTCACAAAGATGGGGGAAGAATAGAGGAAGAAATACAGACGGGCAGAGGAGCCTCGCCCTGTCACCAGGAACTGCGCCTTGTCACCAAAGGCCAAGGGCAGGCAGGCAGGCTGGCCTTGGACAGTAGAAGAATTAAGAAGACATCAGCTCAGGGGGTCAAAGCCCCCTGTTGACAGACCTCAAGGCTGCATGAGACTTTCCATGCAGCATTGCCAGAAATGGGAAGGGCCACTTTTCAAGAGGAGAGGCAGCACTTTTCATAGCAGCCATTGCTTCTCAGGTTGTGGTTCTTTGAGGAATTTTCACTTGCCACTAAATCCCAGACCTGGCAGGCCCTTGAGAAGATACTAGAGGCCCAAAGAAGCTGTTCTCAGAACTGAATATGACCCAGGCAGCCTGCCCCTGTTTGCTGTAAGAAGCCTGCCTTGAGTAACTACCATGCCAACCTGTATTGGATGGATCATGAGTCTACCCTTCCACCTTGCCTCCAGACCCAGGTCCTCCTCCTCCCTACCCAGCAGCCAGTGCCCACCCAGTCTCAAGAGTCCCTTCTAGAAACTTCATCTTCTGCCTTATAATTTCTGCAGCAATTGATTTATGGTTTTTGTTATGTGTTTTGAGATAAGACTCTCACTGTGTAGCCCAGACTGGCCTCAAACTCAATATCCTACTGCTTCAGCCTTCCAAGTGCTAATATTACAGGTGCACACCCAGTCAGAAATTTTAAGAATTTTCTAAGCACCAGGGAAAATATGAGGGAAATTTACCATACCGGGAGGTTCCAGGGCTGTACAGCTCTCTCCTCACACTAGCCACCATCTTTCCTGTGGAGTAAATGAAGCCAACCTCCCCTGTAAAGGTCACTGAACCCTTCCAGGCCTTGGGACCAGCTCCTGCCAGGGTGGGCTAGTTAGACTACTGACCCAGATATTTCAGAGAAGCCTGCTGCAGGGTGAGCAACGCCCCCCCAACTTTTTGCAGAGCCTCCTTGCTGGCTTTCACTCTGGCCTCCTGAGCCTTCCATATGAAGGACACACTTCCCCTGTGTGGCTCTCAAAAGTCTCCAAGACACAACACTGTAGAAACCCAGGGCTCTCCTTAAGGATCTGCAGCACTGGGACAAGAGTCAAAAACACTCTAGAAGTAGATACCAGTGTGGAGAGAAGGGACAACTATATGCTGAACAGTTACTTTCTGTCTTTTGTTCTAAGAGAATAAAGCAAACAGTGACAGTATCGTGTAGCACATGTGTGGATAGATGTCCAGGAGAAAATCCTAGCAGAAATGCTGGCTGTGATAGTGATCATTTTCTCCACATTGCCATAGACAGCGTTAGCACATGCTCTGTGTTTCCAGAAGCATCCGTTGTAATTCTGTGCCGTATCCTCTCTGGTAAGGGAGGCATGCTAGGTGGTGTTACCCACATCCCCCTCACAGTTGCCTTTCCAAGGCTATATGCATCAACCTGCCTTGTAGGCAATAGTCTCTCAAACTGGGCTCTTCTGCCTCCTGCCAGCTGGGCAGGTTATCTCCCTGCCTCCCAAAGAAGCTTATTAACAAGTATTTTCTGCTTTCTTACTATGTACCTGTGCCAGGGGCTGGGGACAACAGTGACTAGTCAGGCCCTGCTCTTGTACAGCTTTACTTCTGATGGAGGGAAAAGAAAACAGACACACAAGGAGAGACACATTATCATGGACCATAGAGAATTGTCAGTTGGGGGGATGTGGGTAAGGGTAATCAGTTACATACCAGGCTGCCAGAAAAAAAGCCTATCTGATGAGACATGTGTGGGCAGGGCCTGAACAGGGTGAGGCTGTAAGATCTGTGGTTATGGTGTGGCCAAGGCTCTCCAGGGACAAGAGTACAGAGACCAGAACTGGAAATATGGTGCATGCTATATATACTTAAAATGGTGAATTTGAGCCGGATGTGGTATCTCACACCTGTAATCTGAGCATTGGAGAAGCTGAGGCAGGAGGATTACTACAGTTTTAGGCCAGCCAGGGATATAGTATGAAACCCTGTCTCAAAGGGGAAAAAAAGACAAAAACAGACATGGTGGTACACACCCATAATCCCAGCACTTGGGAGTATCAATAGAGGAATCAGGAGTTCAAGGTCATCCTCATACATAACAAGCTCAAACCCAGCCTGGACTACCTGGGCTCTGTCTCAAAAAAAAAAAGAAAAAAAATCCAGTGGCATGGTACACACCTCTAATCCCAGCACTTGGGAGGCAGAGACAGGTGGATCTCTGTGAGTTCGAGGCCAGCCTGGTCTACATAGTGAGTTCCAGGCCAGCTGGGGCTACAGGGAGACCCTGTCTCAAAAAACAACAAAATGAAAACAAAAAGATGGAAACTTTTATGTTATGTGAGTTATATCTCAATTTCAAAAGAGATTAAGAGAATTAGTGGGCTAGGTAGAGGAAACTCTGGTAGGATCCAGCCAGGTCATGTGCTGAGCAGCCTGACCATGGCCTTACTTAGGATGCACTCATTGTGGGTGAGTCTACACACTGTTGGTTTTGAACTTGCAATGTTGCACCAGTGAAGAAGAGTGTTTGATGCCTGGGCTTCCTCCCACAGTCAGGCCCAGGCTCCTGGCCCAGTGGAGAAGTTGGTCATCACTGCATCAAGATTGAGATAGGGCGGGGCTTATGTGATGCTGGAGGCTGAGAAGATGGCTCAGTGTTAGGAGCAACACTAGTTGCTCTTGCAGAGGACCTGGGTCCAGTTTCCAGCATCAACATGGTAGCTAACAACCATCCATAACTCCAGTTCCAAGGGATCTGACACCCTCTTCTCGCTTCTGTCATCACTGCATGCATGGGGTGCACTTATATACATGCAGGCAAAACACTCATACACATAAAAAGAAATTTTAGGCAGGAGTGGTGGCGCATGCCTTTAATCCCAGCACTCAGGAGGCAGAGGCAGGCGCATCTCTATGAGTTTGAGACCAGCCTAGTCTACATAGCGAGTTCCAGGCCAGCTGGGACTACAGAGAAACCCCCGTCTCAAAAAGATCAAAAAAAATAAATGGATAAACAGATTTTAAAAATTAAATACATTGGGACTGGCCAGAGCAGGGCATGGTGGCCCAGTTGTGGGGCTGGCAGCAGCATGCCACCTGACTGGTTTCCTCTCTGTTCTATCTTCCACAGCTCTTGCAGTCTCAGGATGTAAAGGAAGACGCTGTCCTCTGCTGCTCCATGGAGGTGAGCAGTAAGGCTCAGATGGTCCCACCTCAGACTCACATGGCCCTCAAGCCTCACAGTTGGGGAGTACAAGAGTCACTGGAGTGGCTACTGATCCAGGGATGTGTCTGTTGAGCCAGGCTGGTAGAAGATGGCTCTCTAGAGTGATCAACAGAGGCGGGCAGTGTCCATTTCCCCCTGTCCCAAGACTTCCTTGATATTTGACTCAAGCATGTCACACCAATGACTTAAGAGGCTCCAGATGATTTAATGACCTCAAAGATCTGCCTCCACTTGGGTGGTATATGGTTAGGAGAAGGTAGGTGCCTTGTGCTTAACTGAATTCCCCAGGTGGACTTATCCTCTTGGGGTTGTGGCTCCTGATCCCAGGCTGCAGTCACTGAGCACTGAAACTTCTTCTAGAATCTTCCCTCAGAAGCTGATTGGGTCCCTGGGACAATCCTTGTCCTCTACAAACAGCCTAGAATCACTCAGGGTGGCGCATACAGGGAAGAGGGGCTTCCAGCATAGGCACCTAGCCCGGCCATGCCAGTTAGCATACCACTCTCAAAGGTAGCTCTGCCCAGTTTGCAAAACCCATATCCTAGGAGCTCACAAGTGCCCAGAGCCCAGACAGAGGTCCTTGTTCCATGGGATGGTCATGGAATTTATTTGTTAGGCTCTAGCAGGGCACTTGTTTGGTACTTGATGAGACCTAGAGAGAAAGAGAAGGCAAGGCCCCTACCCTCAGTCAGCTTCAAGCCTGGCTAGGGAAAGATCACAGACACACGCACACGCACACACACACACACACACGCGCACACACACACACACACACACACAGTGACTGGGCCAGTATATAGAGTAAATGTGCATGCAGAACACATATCTCTAGAAAGTCAGGGGACAGAGATCAGGGAAAACTTTGTGAAGAATGTGGAGACTTGGGGGCTGGAGAGATGGCTCAGTGGTTAAGAACACTGTTCTTGCAGAAGACCCAGGTTCAAATCCCAGCACCCACACAGCAGCTAACAACTGTCTGTAATTCCAGTTCCAGGGGATCTGACAGTCTCTTCTGTCCTCTGCAGGCATTGCACGACACGGGTATACTCGCCTACATGTAGGCAGTACACACATACACATAAAATAAAAATAATATATTTTTTTTAATGTGGAGTCTACAAAAGCAGGTGGGATGAGGCTGGGGTGCAGTAATAATGAGACTTGAGATTATATGGGGAAGGCCTGCAAGGGTTGCTGGCCTGGGGTACAGAAAGATTGAAGCTTCTCTTTCCCAAGGTTTTTTTTTTCCCCCAAGACTGTTGGGTTTCCCAAGAGTGTTTGGCCGGCCTTCTACTTCAGTACATATTTCTCTCCTCCCCTTCATCACAAGTGTGGGCAGTGTTCATTTCTAGCACTGGATAAGGGTTTGAGGTGAGAGAAAAGGGGAGATAAAGAGGGAGAAAAATAGAAGACCCCCATCCCCTCTCATGTTACACACAAACACACACAGGTACTGATGACTAATCTGTTTCCAGAGAGATTCCTGGCAAACAGATCTGCCAAGGGAGCAGACCATTGGGCCAAATGAGGCCCTGAGTATAGTCAGAGAGGGCTTCCTGTAGCAGGGGAGGTTCCGGGGTAAAAGGGACAAGAAGTGAATTCCTGGTGAGATGTTATCAGGCCTGGGCAGCAGCAGTATCCTAGCTCCTGGCATTCCTGCTGGCAGATGGCTGTTAAATTTAGCATCTCCCCATTGGCTATTCCTGCCTGGATCTGCATGTCCCTAGGACAATCCAAATCTTTTTGGTCCTTGCTTCCAGCCCACCTAGCCAAGGTGAATAGGGAGCATTGAGAAGTTGCATCCTAATCACACTTTTCCATCCACAGCTGCAGAGCACGGGCCGCCTGCTGGAGGAGCAGCTGCCGGAGATGATGACAGAGCTCCTGGCCAGTGCCCGGGATAAGATGCTGTGCCCCTCGGAGTCTATGCTGACTCGGTCCCTGCTCCTGGAGGTCATCGAGCTCCATGCCAACAGCTGGAACCCTCTAACACCCCCCATCACGCAGTACTACAACAGAACCATCCAGAAACTGACAGCCTGACAACTAAGGGGGCCTGGCGGGCAGCCCATGGGCAGCTGGGGCCCTGATACACAGGGCCAGATGGACAGGTGGGAGAATAGGGGTGGCCCTGGCGGGAAAAAGAAATGAGCAGGGAGGCAGGCAGTGATGGTGGCCAATCTGGAGGCAGCCGAGGAGGGGATCAGCTCCCTGAGAAGAGCCCCCAGTGTAAACCCCCAGACAGAGCATGTGGCAGCTCACACCAGGGAAAGCATGTTTCTTTGTTCTGGTGGTCTGAGTCCTTGCTCCCCTCCTTGATCCCCCTGCTCTGGTCCTCCCCACCTCCTGCCATCCAACCCACCGCCCACAGAGCTTTATAGGAGGAATCCCTGTCTCAGGCACTCCTCACCATCTCCAGCAGCCTCACAGCCTCCCACACCTGCTGGCCACCGCTTGGGTCAGCAAGGACTGCCGAAGGCTGAAAAAGTGGGTCGAGTCGGCTCGTATTGTTCCCACGTGCTGTCAGCCTCAGTTGCCAACTGGCAGCAGGCAACATGTCGCAGATGTCGGGGAGGACAAAGGCAGGCACGGTCCCCACCAGCCGCCTGTAATTGACGGCCTTTGTCAGCCCCAGTGGGGCTGGGGAGAGGCATTTTTCCTCTACCCTTAGTGCTCCACCCTCCCAACTTCAATTCCTCCTGTCCTCAGCCCCAAACCCAAGGGTCTGGGGGTTGGAGGAAAGTGGGAACTGGCAGCAGAGAGGGGAGCAAGAGCTCACCGCTCAGCTTGCACCCTTTATTTTATTGTGTTTTATTTTTCAAAAGTTCATTGCTTTGAAGTCTCTTCTCTCAATGAAAATGCCCTTGATATGATCACACGGTCAGCCCCTCAAGGAATCCCTGATTAGTGGGAGATCAAACCCAGCCCCCTGGAAGGAGTCTAGCCACAAACAGCGTGCCAGTAACCAATTAGGGTAATTGGAAACTTCTGTGGGGGTCCCCGCTGAACTGTGTTCCTGGACCCCTGGCCTGCAGAGCCTCTGTTCTTGTCCACCACTGGTGGATACTGTACTCTGGACTACCTTAGGACCCATCCTGGCCCCTGGGCCTTATCACAAACAGGACCAGGAACAAGGCTGGCAAATTAAAAACAAAACGCAAGTCTTGTCCAGACCTTTCACTAAAGGAAGAATGAAATGGGAACTGCTGGCTCCCTGGCACTTAGAGTCTCCATCTTCCCGTGTCCTTGCTCTCACCTCATCCCAGGCAGGACCCAGAAACCCGGCCCTCCCAGACTGTTGGGAGGGAGGAGTTCATTGGGTCATGACTGGGACAGTCAGGTGACTAGGCAGGCTGCCAGATGGAGTTTTTCAGGCTAGAAACAAAGCTAGGATTTCTTGGAAGACATTGGTCCTGGGGGACAACCCTTTCTGTAATGGCTAGAAGGAAGGCTGGCCTTGGTGTCAGGACTGGTGGCCCATCTCTGGGAGGCTGGAGCACACACTTCAATGAGTCCCTAAAACGTGTCTAAGCCCAGCAGCTCCTTTACTGAGACTGGTCCAAATCAGGCTGGCTGAAGAGTAGGGAAGGTTTCTCTTAATTGTCCCTGAGTCTGGAAAGGCAGGAAAGAAAGCATGGGAGGAAGATTCCCATTTCTCCCTGACTTTCCCTACTGAAATCTTCTGATCCTAGAATGGAACCTGTGTTAGTCCTCCAAAGAGCCTGTTGGGGCCAAGGTGTAGAGTCAATGGCCACCCTGGTTCTCATCTCTTTCCTCTCCTTCCCCTCCTTCCCAGCTTTCCTTTCCCTGCTTCTTTCTGCCTTGTCTCTTATGCCAGCCCTTAGGCCCAGCTTGGGGCCCAGGGACATTACAAGCCCCAGAGGAGGTGGTAAGGGAAAAGTGGGGCTGATGAGATGCCCAGAGAAGGCACCAGGGAAATCATGCTATTGTGGAGTTAGGCACCTAGGCCCACGGGCAGCTGCTCCCTGCAGCCTCAGAGAGCCACAGGTGTGCTTCATGGGCCTGCTTCCCACATGTGTGTAGGGTGGTGCATGTATGTGTACTTACATGTACATCTATTCAGAAAGAAGCAGGGGCCTGGTGTGGTGGTGCATGCCTTTAATCCCAGCACTTGGGAGGCAAAGGCAGAGGCAGGTGGATCTCTTTAAGTGCCAGGCCAGCCTGGTCTACATAGTAAATTCTAGCCAGGGCTACATAGTGAAACTCTGAATTTAAAAAAAAAAAAAAAAAAAAAAAACAAAACCCCTTGGAAAAAAAAAAAAAAAAAAGAGACAAATAATGGAGACTCAAGACCCAAGGGGTGGAGGGTCTCCTGGACTCCTCGTTGGGCTCATAGAGTAAGCTCCATACAGGGTCTCCCAAACACTGTGTAGAGGTGTCCCCTGTAGAGGCAGAGACAGTGGCCTTGAGGGCACCGTGGACCTAATACAGCTCCTTCCTAAAGGCCCATTAGGGGTCTTGCCTCAGGAACAGCTCCTCCTAGGGCCCTGAGGACCAGTATGAGACGCAAGATATAAATATGTATACATATATAAATATATTTTTAATTACGTGTTGTGTCCCGGTGGCTCCAGACCTACAGTTTGCCTGGTGTAGTCCATTGCTTGAAAGCACTTCCTGGCCCATCCGACACTTTCAGCTGTTTTTTTTTCAAACACAGGTTGCTGCTACTTTTTCAGACATGGTAGGAAACCACTTAATTTTTTTTTTTTTTTTAAGAAATAATAAAGGCTAAAATCAAAAAGTCTGGGCAGCTTCTGATGGGAGATGACTCGGGCAAATAGTGGGGCAAAAGAAGGCACCCCACAGAGCCCTACTCTTCCCCCAGGCCAGAGCCTCCTCAGTTGCCAGAGGAAAAAGGGCTTATCCAAGCCAGCCTCTAAACAATGTATGGGCCAGAGGCAAGACTAGATATCTGGCCTCTGAGGCTTGTGTTGTCCCATCCATCTAGGTTGGAGGAGTCACAGTGTGGCCATCTGATATTGGGCCTTTTCAGCTTCCCCTGCCTGTCAGAATGAGTTGGTTGTTTTCCTGTCAAGCAGCCTGCTTCTCATTGTCCTTGTCCCCATGACCTGGCAGTGTTGCCTAAACTCTGGGTCCGCAGCCTCATCAGGGTTCCCAACTGCCCCTGGACAAGGCCAGGAGTCCCACCATCAACCATGGGGAGCATGTGCCCCCAAAACTAGCTTCATCCACATGTCGTTCCTTAACCAGTCTGTAAATCTTTACAGATTGGGGCTCGTCCTGTCCGTCTGTGTAAATGTAAATGTTGATCCAGTCGGTATTTATTCTAATTTTTATTTTATTTTCTCTGAAGGGTGGGGGGGTGGGAAGTTTATCACTGGTTGTACCCTAGGCAGCTGCAGGAGCGGGGCCCAGACAGCCCAGAAGCCGAGACACACACAGCCCCCTGGGGCCACTCCAGACGGCAGCCTCTGGGAAGCCAAATCCCAAGCTGTTATCTGGCACCAAAAGCCAGCCAATGTTCCTTGTCCCAGACACTCAGATCTGCCCATGGCATGGTGTCCTTCAGCTGCCTGGCACTGTGTTGGGAAACCTCTGGCTGGGCCTTTGAGGAGGTGGTTTGGAGAGAATAGGATTTTCCTCTGCACTAGAAGAGCTGGTGCCTCACCTGAGCCAGCTGGGAGCCAGACGACAGGACCTACCTCCCTGGAGCAGGGCCTGGAGCTTGCCACCAAAGCTGCAGCCCCATCCTGCTCATGCCACCCTCTTCCCTCCACCCAAATGTCCTGCTTTCCAGTTGAACCCAAACTCCAAGTGGGTTTAAAAAAAAATAAACAATACCAAAAACCAAATGTGCCCTGAATCTCTCTTTTTTGTATCAGCTTCAGCAATGTCTCCCACAGTCTCTTTCTTGTGCCTCAGCTGGTGCGAGCAGGAGCCTCCAAGGAGCCCTGACCAGAAGAGTCCTTGTAGTGTGGCTGTGTGGGCACACACTCTAGGGGCAGACTCTGAGACCTGAGGAAGGTTGAAAAGGGACTGATGCAGAAGACTGTGAGCAAAGGAACTCTATCTCCAAAAGCTGGGCTCTGAGGCCTACGTAGAATTTCCTGAAAACAGTTTCATGTGACAATTTTGGTGAATTTAACTACCACGGAGACCTACCCCATCTCAGGAAATGTCCCCATAGCATTTGGTATTGACTCACTGTAAGAAGATTGAGACTTGGGCCCAGCAGCTTCTAAAATCCAGCAGCAAGTGGGTGTCCTATCCCAGTTGGTCAAACAAGGCTCTCATCCAAGGGTTCTAAAAGAACCTGGGATTTATTTCCTATGATAACATGCCCCTCATTTTGCATAGTCTCTTCCATGGAAAGACCATGGGAACTCGCCCTCTTGGTAACAGCTCTTTCTCATGTGGCATCCGTCTTATTCTTCCCTGTCGGGGCACAGAGCAGCCAGTGTGCCTGGAGAGGGCATGTTGAGATTCAGTCATTGCCCATTATGAGTCACATGCCTCCATAGCACTACATGGGGACAAGAAGAAGTATACATCTGGGATAGTGGGAAACAATGATTTGATTAAACAACTGAGATATGTCAAGCCAATTTACAAAAATATGAACGAGTTGGAACAGAGAGTACAGGTCAAAAGGCAAAGTGTTTGAAGGTAAGGGAGAGGGAGACAAAGGGGAGTCCCACCAGAAAGCTCACCCAAAGAGACAGATAGTTCTGGGTGACTTAATCCTGCTTCAAAAAGTTCTAGATTACTGACTCCCATGCAACCCATCATCCAAGTAAGAAATGTGTCAACCCTGTATTTCACCACCTTCTCTGCTGATGCGTAGCCTCTGTCCTGGAAACCGGGTTACATTTGTCCTAGATCTATAGGAAGGCAGGAAGAGAGAATTTTGTTTTAAATCAGTCATCTATAACACACACCACAAGACTTATAAAGGATTCTAAAGTACTAAGGCAAAGATTGGAGGCAGAGAAGGAAGCAGTGGGGAGGGAAGCAATGGTTTTGCCAGAGGTTAATGGTCTCAGTTGGTCCAGCGAAGCTAGAAACAAGCGATGTTTTGGTTTGCTTGATTTTTTCTATTATTAATTATTATTAATGGTGTGTATCTGTTTGCCACAGCACACTTGTGGAGGTCAAAGAACAGCTTTGTGGCATCAGTTTTCCCCTCATCTTGGCTTTTACCTACTGAATCCTCTCCCCAGCCCTGCTTTGTTTTCTGTTTTGTTTTTGTTTTACTAGTGCCAGGTTTGGAACCCAAGGCCTTACTCAGCTTGACCACTGAGCTAGAGCCCAGCCCAGTCAAGTGGTTCTGACTCCCATTTTACAGATGAGCCAAAGAGCAAAGAGTGCAAAGCCAAGTCCAGCATGAGAGCCAAGTACCCTTTCCCCTAGCCCAGAAAGCTGGCTGTCCTGCCTCACCCTCTTGAGAGGCCAGTCACTCCAGCAGACAAAGGGCCAGCCAGCTGCCTGCTGAGACTGGGCCACATGCTTCCCTCTGGGCCTGTGGGGACCAAAGACATCAGGGATTGGGGGGGTGGGGTTGTAAAGCTTGTGTCCATCATAATATTCATCTTTTGAGCCTCAGTTTCCACAGGCCAGTTCTCAGGTAGGAGGTGAGAGAGTCCCTCGTGTGGGAAGGAACTTCTCAAGGGTAAGGCCTATATCCAAATTGCTAGGAACTTTTTCAAACTACACTGAAACAGGACTCACTGCCACACTAGTTTCCAGAGTCCGATCTTGCTGAGGGTTTGTGTCACACCTTGGGTGGTGTGCCAAAGAAAAGGTAGTTTGAGACACTATCTGCTACCCCAGGAGCCAGCACAATGGTGACTCTGA